TTAATTTTGGGGGTGAGTAGTGGATGCTGGCATGAAGCAGGCCAAAGTGTTGCTTTGTGCAGATGCGACGCTAAAATCATCCAAAGTAGAAAGCTTCGCAGCAGGAGCAGCACATTTTTTTGGCACAATTGGATTGTAATCCCACCCCTTAATATTAAACACCCCCATTCTATGGTCCCCTAGTAATGTGGTTTCATCCCCTACATACACCATAATTATATATAAAGGTTTTGGGTGGATTTGAGGCAGCGATCGCATTGCACAACCTTTCCATGACCATCTTGGTTCAAAAAGGAAGGGCTGGGGAGAAGCGGTGTTGCGTCGGAGACACTTGGAATGCGATGTGTCGAAACGGGTATGGCTCGACATATTGGACCCAAAATTCGACAGTGCTTTATATACCGTGTTTTATCGGAATGAGCTAATTCATTGATATTAAATTGGGAATGTCGCAATTTTGACCCACCCAAAATGAATGGCTGACCACTTCGCAGCAGCTCTAGCAGTCTGTCCACAGCTCAGGATCTTTTTTGCGATGGCAAGCGGGCCGCGAGCTTTTTGGCGAGGCGAAATGCAACAAGAAGGATGAAATCATAATATGAAATCAACAAATGGGCTGAAACGGCTGAAACCTTCCAAGTGATGAACAGATATGAACAGTGAATATGAGAAAAGCTATGCAAGGCTATGACAAACTTTGCAAAGCCATGAAAACCATGATTTCCTGTATCAATGGATTGGTTTAAGGGAAAATTTACAGGAAAACCCCATATTTAATGGGAAAATCTATGGTTTCCTGTAGATTTTCCCTTAAACCAATCCATTGACTGTAGTATTTTCCCTGAACCTCAATCCAATCCGAATCCAATCTCTGTTTTCCCATGGCCAGGTGGCCGCGGGGTTCGCAAGGCGCAGCTGGTCTCACGGCACCTGTCGACGCCTCGGTGGAGCTTGTGGAAAAACATGGAACTTCTCAAATTCTGTGTTCATTTCTATATGTATATATATATATAACACACACATATATATATATAACATATAGATATAACTTAGCATATACATACATAAGATAAATACATTCACACACACACACAAATAAATAAATAAATGAATAAATAAATAAATGTAAATAAATAAATATAAATACATAAATATAAATAAATAAATATAAACAACAAATAAAAATAAATAAATAAATATATATATATGTATACACATAGATGTTTTCTATAAAGATCCCAACTTTTCCATCCTTCCCACCTTTCGCCATGTTGCCACAAGGTCTGCAGACTTTGTTAAGAAGAATTATGATGTGCAGCGCTCGGGTGTTCATTGATCCTGGCTGCCGACCTCCAAAAATCCGGGCAAGGTCAAGATGAAGATTTAGCCAATGAAGATGACGAAAGCAATCACTCAGTTTTCACCAGCCAAATCAGAGTCATCATATCATGTCATATCCCCCGTTTCTTGGTCATTCCTCTGACCATTCTGGTTGGTAAGAACTGGCTGGTGGGATGACGGGTGGCTCTACTGGCAACCAACTCTTAGCTCCCCGTGTTTGCAAGGTGGTGAAGGAGCTGGGGCCTTAACAACTGGAGCTCCGCTTCCACATGACTTGTTTCCACTAAGACTCACTCCTGGGAAGGAGCTGTTTCACTGTTTAATTGGAATTGTTGAAGGATGGACCAGGATGGACACGTTACAAGAGTTTCCTAAGCTGGAAAAAAGAGCTGCGCATGTTCAACTGGAAAGGCATCCGACAAATTTCAAAAAGTCAAAAAGTGAAAAGTCGAAAAGTATTCTTTTCGACTTTTCGATTTTTCGAAATTCAAAACGAAGCCTTTTTACTTTTCAACTTTTCGACTTTCGACTTTTTGAAATTGAAAATGACACCGTTCCACTTCTCAACTTTTCGACTTTTTGACTTTTTGACTTTTCGGAATTGACAATGAAGCCTCTTCACTTTTCAACTTTCTATTTTTCGAATTTTCCTGTGACTTGTTCGACTTTTAGCCTTTCTTTCTCAAAACTGTTGTCTGCTTTTGCAATGGAAGAACACTTGCTCCGAGAAAGACGCGTCCAGCAAAAAACAAAAGTCAACAAGTGAAACAATGCCTCCACGCAAACACATGTTATGCTTGAATCCCAAATACATCCAAATACAAAATAGATACATATTTATCCTCCTTCAGGACATGATGTCCTTAAAAAACTGTATTTTTTAAGGGACATACCTGGCCGGCAAAAAAAACAGTTCTATTTTTTAAGGAAATCCTGTTGTTTGACGGTCTCCTATTCTTTAAGAGGCCTTCCTTGGAAGATTCTAGGAACTGCACCATATATATATATTCATATATCATCATGCACATCCACATATCTCTTTAACATGTACATGAATGTACATGATATGTATCCATAAAATCTTAAAACTATTCAGAACATTTCATGCTTGACTTCAACTTGGGTATCCAATTCTTTAAAGGGGCACCCCTTGGTGTGTTTGACGGTCTCCAATTTTTTAACGGGACATACCTGGCTACTGTGTTGCAATCTTGGTTCATTGGGGTTAGATTCTTTAAGGCTGAAATTTGCCCTGGTTCGCATTCTTTAAGAGGCTACCAGTGGTCCCTTAAAGATTCAGGGGTCAGGGTCGGAGGCCGAATTGCAAGGGGGATACATATTTAATCAAATTAAATATTATACATATATAATTGTATATATATATATATATATACGTCAGCACCACTGTCGCCGGCAGTTTTGACAGATGGCGATTGGCATGAAGAGGTAGAACTATATTTATATATGCCTATACGGAGTTTTATGTATACATGTATGTGTACATGTAAATATATATATATACATACGAATATATATATATATATTATATGTATATATATATCTTTACGCACACACACACATATATATATACACATAAATTTACGCATGCATATATATATATATATGTTCATACGCATATATATATATATTTAGATTTATTTGCATATGTGCATATGGACAATTACGTATAGACAAATTTATTTGTATATATATATATAAACAAATCCCAATACAGTATACACTAACAGACATAGATATACATATTTCATATGTTTTAAGCATGTGCACATATACCTAAATATGTATATATATATACATATATAACACTTATAGTATATAATATAAACAATGTTTCACAGAAAATACAAAATATTTCATATATAATATATAATAATGTGTAATATTTAATATAACATATTTAGTGTCGGATGTATGATGTGTAATATATAATAGACTATGTAATATGTAATATTGAACATACTACATATTATACAATATATAATATCCAGTATGTAATCTATAATAGTTTTTATTTTATATATCATATATCATTTATAAAATTTGATATAGAGTATAACATACATAATATTTGATATATCATATATGAGATATCATATGTTTAATATCTAATATATAATGTATAATATTTAAGATATCATTATTGACTATTGATATATAATATTTAATATATAATATTTAATATATAATATTTAATACATAATATTTAGTATATATAATATTTAATATATGATAACTCATAGATTATATATAATATTATATATAATATATTTGCATTTATGTATGATATATAATATATAAACATAATATATCTATATATGTATACATATCTAAAATATATTAACATGTATATTTTTACATTTGTATATGCATATTTCTCTATGAGTTAATTCTATGTGTTTAATATTAAATTATGTTTGTTAGTACATGTAATGTATATGTATCTATATATACACTTAGTTTGTATGCAGATATATTCTTGCATACATACATGCATGCATACATACAAACATACACATACACATACATACACATACATACACATATATACATATACATACATACACATATATACACATATAATCACATACATACACATACATACACATACACACACATGTCACATATATATATATATACACATGATGATACATGTGCATATTTGAGTGCGATCAAACCCGCGCCCAGATACTCTTCATTTGGCATTCCTACTTGAGAGCGGGCAAGGTATGCAAGTTTCCCCTTTTTTTATTTACTGGATATTTTTGCAAATTCAAAGCAGGGAAATGAGATCCTTACTTCCCTCAATATAAGGAAATACACAACACATATGATTTGACCTAATCGATGTTTCGGGAAATGAAAGAAAGAAAATAAGATCCTACGGGAAAGAAGGGAAATAGGACCCTTATTTCCCTTAATATACGTAAAGAAAAGACACACAATCATTAGTTGAACTATTCCATGCTTCGGGAAAGAATGAACATATGATCCTTATTTCCGCTCATATAAGGAGAAAAAACATGTATTTGCAGTAGCCGATGTTTCGGGAAATAGAAGAAGGGAAACACGATGCTTATTATTCCCCACATGGAATTTTAAAGAACAGCACATATTATGTCTACTACTGGATGCTTCAGGAAACAAAAGAAAAATAAGATGCTTATTTTCACTAATACAAGTAAAGGAAAACACATATGATTTGAACTACTCGATGCTGCCGAACATGAAGGAAGGAAAATAAGATCCTGGTTTCCCTAAAGATAACACATATGATTTGACATATTCGATGCTTCGGAAAATGAAAGAAGGGACTTTTCGACTTTTCGAAAATCAATATGAAGCATTTGCACTTTTCAACTTTTCGACTTTTCGACTTTTCGAAATTGAAAATGAGACCCTTCCACTTTTTGACTTTTCAACTTTTTGACTTTTTTCGACTTTTCGAAATTCAATATGAAGCCTTTCCACTTTTCAACTTTTCGACTTTTCGACTTTTGGAAATTCTTTTTGCATTGACATACTTTCCGACTGAACCATGCAGCGTATTTTTCCAACCCAGAAGAATTTCCCCCTACATTGGGGGAAAAACCATGGACAAACCGATGAATTCCGGTGGACTTTTCCCATCTGCCGATGGGATGAGGCTCAACAGCGGCAGCTTCTCACGGGTGAATCTGGTGCGGGAGCGTCTCAGCGGTGCACTGCGCGTGTGCAAGGCCAGTGCTTCTCATTGGGGATTGATGATTTGATGTCTACTTCACTAATTAATATACTGCAAATACATAATCTTTAGAACTTTTGTAGAACTTTCATACTTGTTAATGTGGTAAAGCCAATAGCAGCTACCTAGCATTTGGGGATGGCTTTTGCCATTGATGGCAATATCGATATTAAAGATGGCTTATAATCGCGTTTGCAGTACCATTGTGATTGGTATGCCATGAATGATCATTACCGGAATCGGAGGGGATATATATAACCTACAGTAAACTTCCATACTTGGGCGGCTTGAGCGCCGTTCCAGCACATCTTCCCTTAAATCCAGAGAAGTATTATCCATTGGTTGTCCATTGGTTGCCAGGTCATTGACATCAAGGAGATGGACCCACATGTGCTGGGCATGATGAGGAAGCTGGGCAGCACCACACAACAATCAAGTGGGGCTACGGTCGGTTATGATAGGGGCTTTCGTTGGGTTGATCCTTGCAATGTACGTTGTGACCTGGAGGTGCGAGCACAGGAAATTGTTTAGCTTGTGGGGACATTTTGCACAGACGGTCGGGTTCAGTTTCTAAGGAAGGAAGTTCAAGTTCTGTCGGCGCTTGATCACCCGAACATTGTGCGGCTACTTCACGGCAACTGTTTGCACGTTTTGACATTGACGAATATACATCCTATACTTTGTCTCACCAACACATCGCAGTGCTTCCTGTTTCCAACTCCTTGAGGCTCTACGAATTTGCTGAGGAGAGTCGCTTGAAGCCACTGATTTGTGTAGCGTACTGCAGGGATCTGGGCGTACAGCTGTGAGGATGAAAAGACCCACGAGTTGGTCTTGATTCTGGAGCAGCTTGGCAGCAATGGCAATCTCCACACTTTGTCCAAGTGAAATGTGTTGATTGAACCTACAAACAAGCATATTGCTGTAGATTTTTTGCGCGAGTGATGTGCATTTCGCACACTGCCTGCGACCAAGCACTAACATCAGTCCGCCAATCAGGTATGTCCCAGGTGGAGATTGTATTGACCTTCTTGAGGCGTGAGAGACCAGTCAACAGCAGTCAAAACGTGACTGGACAGCACCGCTACAACGGTTGCAGGAGCATGAGCGGTTGCTTCCGGAACGCCTGGTGGCGAGGACTGATAGTTTGTAAATGGTTGTAATAACAGTATTACTATTACAGTATACCCATGCCCTGAGTTATATCATGTTATATCTATGGATTATCCCCAGATCCAGCAAGGATCATCCATCAGCTCTTGGTGGTTTTGAACTACTGCCACAAGAGCCGTGTTCTCAGATCCACAGATCATCCTGCATCAAAAGTATAGACCTGATTGGTCAATTTTTCGGAGATTATGTCAACTGATGAGTATAGTGTACCATAGTGTACCATGGTGCACCATAATAGTAGGGGATACTGCAACGCATGTAGCTCCAACTGCAGCCAAGGTGGAATCACGCACCGGGATGTGAAGCCAGAGAACGTGATGTTGACCTCCTTATCCAACGACGCTTTTTGCAAGGTATGCTGAAGATCAGTGGGGTGGGTGCTCTATGCAACTGTTCCGTCACATTATTGACATTACCAATGGTGCCAGAACAAAAATATGAGGATATCCCGCAATTGCAATTTTCATGGTGACATGTTACGCCACAATAGTAACGGCACCAGATGGGGTTTGTCCCCAATTGTGGGGAGATCCCGAAATGTTAAATCGGACCATGACATTTCGGGGTATCCTATTGACGAGCACCAAGATGTTCCAATGTTCCATGGCCTTCAGCAGGTCATTGACTTTGGCTTAGCAACGCCCTACAAGGGCAGAGTGAAGGAGTTTGCCGGAACAGTCTCGTGCCAACAGCTGCATTAAAGCTTGCTGAATGAAACGCATGGCAGACTGGCATTGTCATTGTATGTTATCATAGTTATCATCATCCGCTTTTGGCCGACTTGCTTTATTGATTTAATTTTGTTGTCATCTTGTGGCAACTGTGGCCAGGTATTTGGCCCCAGAGCTGGCAATTGCGCAGGCTGGGGTGTCCATTCCTGTAGTGGGCAGCATCATATTTCATCATATTTCACAATTTCCATACATTTTCCAACCGGGGTATGAGTTCAAGAGTCGCTCTCCCTATGGAAGCAGGTTCCTCACCTGTCACACGCCCTGCTGAGTCCGGCTTCTCCATGGCTGCAGACATTTGGGCGGTGGGTGTCACTGCATTCGAGCTGCTGGCAGGCGCAGCACAACTAAGAGATGGGGGTTTCCTAAAATGGGGGTTACGCCAAAATGGATGGTTTGCAATGGGAAATCCGATTAACATGGATGATTTGGGGGTTCCCTCATTTTAGGAAACCCTTAGATGGCCTTGAATGAAATCTTGTGCACAACTGGAGGAAGCACCTGCCATGTTCTTCCCCAGAGTATTGAGTCGTTGCGCCTAGGCATCACTCCCTTTGGAAAGACTCAGGCATCGCAGAGTTGCAAAATTGCTACTGTTCAAAGCTTTCAGACTTCTCTGTGGTTTGTTGATGATTGTTGAGGAGTTCGGGAACTCGGTTGAGCCGATCTTGGAGAAGCTTTGCGAATACGAAAGCTTCGACGAGGCAACGCCCTTGCCGCCGTCAACCTGTTGGGATTTGCTCAGCCCGAAGCCATGCCGAGGATCTCTACCAGGTCTTCCGCATGTCGCCTGGGCATCAGCGCATGTGGCGCAGTTCTGAGGCCTGGCTCAGGTCGCAGCCTGGGGTCGCAGCCAGGGTATCTCCCCATGAGGCTTGGGACTTCTTGCGCACGGTGTTGGCAGCTGACCCGGAGGATGCACAGATGGAGGGCTTCTTTGGGTGCTGAGCTGTTTTCGGAGGGGAAATGCATGGGGGTGCCTCCCTTTTTTTGACGCCACTCACATTCTCATTTTCCACTTTTTATATCTTTTTACAATATATCGGTGTTCAATGCTTGTTTGTTGCTTCGGCATGGCAATTTTTTTCGGGAAGTCAACTCGTCTTTTTTCCCGTGAGGATCGACCTACTGCCCAGAAGGCGCTGCAGCACCCCTGGCTGGTGCGACATCAGCCCGATGCGGTACCAATTGCTCAGGCTGTGACTCAGCTGGGGGTACCCTCTGGTAAACTAACATAACTATGGAAAACCACAATTTTTAATGAGAACTCACTATAAATGGCCATTTTCAATAGCTATGTTAAATTACCAGAGGGTAGTCCAAGGAACTTCGGATGGTGAACAAGCGGTTTGCAATCCTTCGTGTGCCACTTGGGCATACTTCCATCATGTTCCATCCATCCATGCATGCATGCATGGATGGATGCATGCAAGCATACTTAGATTAGGTTCGGTTAGGTTAGACCAGATTCCATTACATTACAATACAATATATACATTAGATTGCAGTACAGTGCCACACCATACCATACGATACCATACCATATTATACCATACCAGACTATACATAGTATACACACACACAATTTTATATAATTTTTATGTAGTATTATACGATCCATCCATTCATCCATCCTTCCATTCATACCAAGCCTTGTACCTGACCTCCAGAGATCCCTGATGATTTCTGTCAGGAGATGCTGAAAAGCTTTGATGGTTTCTCTGAGGCGTGCTTTGGATCCGCAAAATCCATCCTTCCCGCGCCGGCCGCTTTGCACCGGGGGTGCTGTGCCAGGCGACAAAGATGCACAGAAGTTGCCTCTATGCCATTGCTGCCAAGGGCAATTTTGCTGAGTATGCCTCCTCAGTTGACAGTATCCAGCAGCTGATTCATATTGGAAAATGTTGAAAACTTCTCCAAGGGGTACCTTGGGAAGCTCCCCATTTTTTCAAGTTTGCCTTTGCAAGGTATGAATCATTGTCAACCATCAACAACTTTCAACCACTATTGACCCACTGAAGCCACGACCAATCATATATAAACCATTGGCAACCATGATTTTCCCACCAGAAATAGTGATGATCAGGTGATGATTTAACGGGTTAGACCTGTTCCATCATGTTCCATCCCCAGTTCCCCGTCGCGAGGTTGGACATGGCTATGGTGGGTCATGCCTTCGCACAGGCGGACAGCGACAATGACGGAAAGATCTCCTTGGAGGCCGTGGCACGGTGGATCATTTGCGTTGGAGATGCGTATCCACGATCCATCTGGATCTATATTCATATAATCATATATATATATGTTATACTATGTATATGTTATATTACATTATATATATATATACACTATGTATTTGTTTTCCTGCTCGCCTGACCTGGATATGTTGATATGTTGGCAAAACTGTGCTTGACCAAAAACCGGAAAGTGATACATTGATGGTATATCTACGAGCACACAAATGGGGATTGATGCCATCAAACATGGGAACAAACATATCACAGCAACTCGCAAGCACAAGCATGGCCAGGCTCCGCAAACATGGATGGAAAGTTGCCAAGTGCGGGGTTTTGGGTCACCCCAATTTTTAAAGGATCAACCTGGTTCCACTGGACTTCATTTCCCCTTGCCGCCCTTGCCAGGACTTGCAAACTGCCAGCAAGGTCAGAGCTATGGCAGCGGGTCGTGGTTTCAACCTGCAGAAGAGAACCATTCATTTCTTGTTTCGTTTTTCATACTCATACTCACGGGGGTGCCCAGCCACACGTGTGCTGTGATCAGAAAATCGCATTTAAATATGTATATACAATTATATACACATATACACACACACAGATACATGATCACGGCGAGCTCCGGTGTTCCAGTGCCATGTTGGATTGCCAATGGTAAAGCAGCCCTGCAAGGCAAACAGCTGGTGGTCGTGGAGCAGGAGACTGCAGGCAGAGCTGGCATGTAGACCATGGTATGCTTGGGCCCCATTTAAGAGCTATCCATTGTCATGGGGGTACCCCAATAGCTGGATGGTTTATAATGAAAAATTCTGCAAAAAAGTGATGGTTTGGGGGGTACCTCGACTTGAAGGTCATAAGAACTGCAAAGTGGCAGCTGCTGGCAGCTGTTTTTTTTTCCCCTCCCCCGCAGGCTGCAATGGAGACTTTTCTGCAAGCAGCAGATCAGGAGCCACCAGAAACGCCCAGCGGGCCATGAGATGCAACAGCTCCAGTCACTTCCAGTCACTTCCAGTCACTTCCAGTCACTTCCAGTCACTTCCAGTCACTTCCAGCAACAGTTCCAGTTGGATATGTCTGAAAATGGGGTATACCCCCAATTATAGCCATTTAATAGGGATAATGATCATTAACCATTGGGTGTAGGGGTACACTATTTTCAGACAAACCCAGTTCCAGGACCGCAAAGGTTACCTTGGCTACACGGATTTCGTGGCCGCCTGCCTCTTCCAGATCCACCACACCTTCGATGAGCCTCGCCAGCATTCGCTGCCAGACGCCATGCCCGTCTCGAGTGAACTCAGCTGTGCAGGCCGGCCTGGTGGATGACACTTTTGACGTCTTGGATCACGACAGGAATGGACTCTTGAAGGTGCCAACTTTCGATCTCTATCCATCCATCCATCCATCCATCCATCCGTCTATCTATCTACCTATTCATTCACCTATCTAATCTATCTAACTTGTCTATCCATCCATCCATCCATCCATCCATCCATCCATCCCATCCCATCCATCCATCCATCCGTCTATCTATCTACCTATTCATTTACCTATCTAATCTATCTAACTTGTCTATCTACCCATCCTTCTATCTATCTACCTATTTATCTACCTATTTATCTACCTATCTATCTACCTATCTGTCTAACTACCTATCAAACTATCTATCTACCTGTCTATCTACGTATCCTTCCATCCATCCATCTATCCATCCATTCATCCATCCATCCATCCATCCATCAATCTGTCTGTCTATCCATCCATCCATCCATCCATCGATCTGTCTGTCTGTCTGTCTGTCTGTCTGTCTCTACCTATCTAACCTAATCCAATCCAATCCAATCTAATCTATGTATCATGGATGGATGGATGGACGGACGGATGGATTGACATATAGATTTTATCTATCCATCAATACCTAACCCATTGATTTACCTAGCTGTCTATGTATCTATCTATTTATCTATCCATCCATCGATCTATCCATCCAACTATCTATCCATTCATCCATTCATCTATAATTGCATCTATCCATCTGTCTACCTATCCACCATCCATCTTTCTCATCGTATCTCGACATCTCCATCTCATCCATCCATGTGTCTATCTATCCATCTATTTGTTTGTCTTTCTTGCTATGTATCTATGTTGTTCTGTGTGTTATGTATGAATGATTATGAATGTATATTTAGTTACAGTTAGATCTTGACAGCAGAGGTGGCAGAGCCGGCACTGCGTTGTTGTGCACCTTGTTCCATGTCTAGGCGGAAGACGTCAAACCGGCCTTCCCGCGGTACCCACCTGGACAGAGAACTGAAAAAATCGGGCACCCATTTCAGCCCATTTCATAAGGATTCCAACATAGGACAGCAGCCATTGCGCCATGTTGCGCCACTGTGCAGGACTTCCCAAATACTGCTCTTTCGGGCGGGAGGAGTGGCATCACTGTGTCTTCCGCGAGGTGCCACGACCATTGATGTTCTTCGGTAAACATCAGCAGTAACCCTGAAACCAACGTGGTGCAAGGCAGACGATGAGATAGCAAGGACGCGTGGCAGGGCACACTGCGGAAAGTGTTTTTGAACACTTCCTGGAACCTTCATCTTGAAACTGGACATCGCGTCCTATGGGGTCTCAAAATGAGGCATCCCTGAAATGCATAGTTCAACATCGTCTTCCCGATTTCAAATGGCTATTTTGCGGGTATACCCCATTGTCGGAGACACCAAAAAAGATAAAAAATCATTCAAAATCTATCTCCTATGATATTCCCATTAAATCACAATTTTTGCTGTTTTGGACCGGGTAAATTCCCCCATTTTCCCTACTGGGTGTGTTTTTTGGAGGGCCCCTCCCTTCCCTCAGGACTTCCACCGAAGCTGAGGAGGACCTTGATGGAATATATCACGAAAGCTAGCGTCAGCTAGCTGGAGTCTTCTTGCTTTAGCAAGTATTGGGGGGGCTGCTCAAGGACATCACGTGATTTTTCACGCGAAAGGGCCCCCCCCCCTCCCCCACCACCACCACACCATCACCATCATCATCATCATCATCGTCATCATCATCGTCATCGTCCTCTCCATCGTCCTCGTCCTCGTCCTCCTCCTCCTCATCATCATCATCGTCCCTCATCGTCCTCGTCATCGTCATCGTCATCGTCATCGTCATCATCATCGTCATCATCATCATCATCCTCGTCATCATCATCATCATCATCATCATCATCATCATCATCTGCGGAATTTAACAGCCCCAGGGGATAAACAGTAGGTTGTCAACCAGATACCTTTCAAGATCTTAAAATGTGAGTTCTTATGATGTCACTCCCAATGAAATCTCTGTTCTGATCTTTTCCATAATCGCGGTGTGGCCCTTGAGCCAGATTCCGGGATGGAATTCATTATTCCATGGGCAGCACATCCAGCCTTTGGCAGGATGAAAAACTGTTTTCTTTGCATCAGTTTGGGTTAGATCCAAGTCCTTCAGTTCTGTTCTCTCACAGCCTAGTCACTTGGAAATTCTTGTCGACCCAAACGTTGACCTAATTAGCACCTTCTATGGTGCAAAAGTTGGTGTCAAGCAACTTCTTCTGTGTCACATGCAAAACAATGAGTGAACAGCAGTGAACGAAATTTGCAAATCAGTCCAAATTTAAAGTGGATCTAAGTGACAAACTCTGAAACTATGTCTCACTGTTCTTGGCTGAGATGGTCATTCGCTCAGACACTTGGCTTGTCTACTTTCCTGCTCTCACTACGTTTCCACCACTTCTCAAGTGGCTCTTTCTGCAGTTCAGAACATTCAAGCAAACATTTGGTTCCACCAAATGTGAAGATTGCACAAAACCAAAAAAAACGGAGAAATATGTGCAACTGATTATGGCTTCGCAAATTAAATCCGAGATCACAACTGCGAGACTCTCTGAACTGAGTGCACGGGCACAATCCAAATAAATCGCACTGCGCTAAGCACTATAGGTCAATGCTCGGATGCTTGTAGTTACATGTGGTTGCCGATGGCTTCTGAAGACAAGCAAATGGCATAAAGTCTAGAGTGTTGGAATCGGTTTCTCTCACATTTTCCACAACTGTTCTCAGTTGTGAGCAGCTTTCCCATCTGAAGATATTTCTGACTGTCGCAGTGGAGCATGCACTCCCAAGAAATTTAGTTCAAGCTCTCGTGACATCTGCTGCACTAAGTTTATGTCTACCGACGGATGCATCAAAGATGCACAGACATTATCAAACTAAATCTCTATGGAATGAGATCCTCACTCTTTGCACTGCACCTTTGGATTCACAATTCCGGCAGGAATTGTGCAAAACTTGGCTTATCACTGTCCAAAAAATCAATACTCTTTCTCAGGAGAAAATTTCGTGTGTTCTGCACCAAAAATCAACTGTGCTTTGGCGTTTTTGATCAAGAAAATCATTTCAATTGGTGTTGAGCACCAAACGGCATATGCTTCATGAATTTAAGCCTAAGCGGCTGAGATTTTGGATCTGAAGCGCTGACACGATTGTTAACATGCACCTCTGTCCCAGATGGTGCATTATATTCACACCCCCTTTCGTGTCATGGCGGAGGATCTGCACACAAGGGAAAATTCGATGTACTGAAGTGCAAATGATTGCAAGTGTCAAAAGGCTGGAAGTCACATGGGATTGCATGAGTCTTAAAAGATCTGCAATGATGAGACTAAAGGAAAAATTGACATCTTTTGCCTTCGCTCGCCACTGCTTCTCAAATCTTCTCATATCCAACATGTCCCATGGCTATATAATTCAAAGGTTGGAATACTTTGCTGAAAACCTGTCACCTCATATAAACCCGAAGCTCACTAAGTTTCAGGCTGCCGAGATAGGAAATTCAGCCAATCTCTTTCGTGAAAATCGAAAATCCTCAGGTTGTTTCGGGTCCCACATCAGATAGGCGTTGTCTGGCCCATGCGGTCGGAAATCATAAAGCTCTTTCTCGAAAATGCTTTTCACAGAGGCGATGAGGCACCCACACAATTTCCAGGGATACCTTTCAGTGTTTGTCCAGTTGATCTCATTAAAATGCTTATGACGTCCATCATCGCAAGAGCAAACTGAAAAGCATGCCAAGGACTGCACAATCAAAGGATGGTTGCTGACAAATTGAAGAATCTTGCTGATCGGTTCTGCGTCAAGTTGACAATATTGGACAAACTGGCTATAAAGAGGTTGTTTACTACATTTCAACAGCTCCTGCAACTCAGTTCTGGTCCAGTATTGATTTCGCTTGGGAAGTTCAAATGACCAAAGGAGGACATGCGGTATCAGTTCAAAACAAAATCCAATCAACCTCAGAAATTCCTGCATGCTTTCTGCCTTCAAATCCTCATTCTTTGATAGGCGTTGGAGGCTACTACCTCCAGTGCAAGGCAACGAAATATGCATGTATGATGGTTTCATCGCTTTCTTGAAATCCTGTAAGCATATCTTAATATCTTTCCAATATTCTTCCAGGTGTGAAGGTTCAGTACAGCAGACAATGAGGGTCCCACACTTCAAGTCTTTGAATGCTGTTTTGGTCAGATGTGAGCTACTCTCACAGCCAATTTCCAGCACTAAATACGCAAAATCATGGCAAGAAACATTTGAAATCTCACATGCTTCAATGAGGACACACTCCTTGGAAAAATATGAAAAGACTACAGCAGGCATGAGGATTCTGTCGCGTTCCTTTGCGACATCTTTCTCGGTGGACGAAACTGCTTGCTGTTGGATTTTGTTCTCCCCCTTTGGCTTCTTGGCTGATTGGGCTTTGGACGAAATCTTCTCAGGCATTACTTCAGGCATTTCTGGGGCCTCGTGGAATCCCATGGCCACAAGATGTTTCATAAACAGTCGCAGTCCTAGAGTTTTGGTAAAGAGATCAGCTATTTGTTCTTCGCCTTCAACCCAAGTCAATACGATATATCGCTTCTTTACAAGGTCCTGGCAAAAACAAATTCGCAATTCCACGTGGCGAGATCTCCGCTGCAGTCCTGAAGCCGACAAAACTCTGATAGCTGCTTGTGAATCACATCTGCACTCAATCTCGACCTTTGGCCTCTCTTCCGTGATATGTTCAGTCGCAAACAAAAAATTGATTAGTCGATGGATAGCTTCGGCATGTTGAACTCCTTCATGGAGAGATGTGATCTGCGAATGGGTGTCAAAGAAGAAATGCTGTGAAATTCTACTTAGTCCAATTGCTTCCTGCATGCAGTCAGCAAGTGCCGACAATTCAGCTTCACAACTGCTGGTAGCTACGATCTGTTGAATTCGAGAGAATCCCTTTACCACCGATCCTCGATAGAAAGTCACACATCCACTTATGGATCTCCTGCGCAGCATTCGGAGAGGTGCCCAAGAAGCATCGCAATACATGATGAGTTTGTGAGAATCAGTGTCGAATGGCTTTGCTTCTGGTGATGGAAAACATTGCTGCATGCTCTTTAAACTACGAAGCCACCTCAACACAGCTCGCATAGCATGCTCATGTGCATCGGTCGGCTCGGCCATACTTGTGGCCAACAAGGCGCAATAAATGCACAGAAATACCATGGTTTGGCTCATCCAACTGAGTTTCCCGAGTGCAGCTCGGTATTTCAAAGCAGCTTCTTGCGAAATTGGATCTGCTTTACTCTCGTTATCGAGGATTGGTCTCAGATCTGGTGGTGGCCTGCTGGCTGCATTAGAAATCTGATACGATTCAAATACACTATCCAAATACGTATCATCCAACTTCACTGTGAGGGTCCGACTGCTTGGCTTTCTCTCAATGGTGCGTCCCAGGAATCGAAGGCTCCCACCTCCATGTTCCGAACTGTTGATTTCACCAGTTTGCTTTATTCTAAGATGATTGGCGAGATGATTGAACACAATCATCGCTTCTTCCTTGGAACTGGCAAAGACTAATAAGTCATCAACATAGGCAATAATTTGAACCAATTTGTTTGTTTTGCCTTTTCCTACCTTTAAATACCCAGCAAAAACCGTGGGCTCAATAGGGCTTGGGTGTAAACCTAGTTCTTGGACCAAATGTGAGAGGTGTTCAACCCAGGCAAGACCAGATGTTCTCAGGCCATTGATGGCCTTTTCAGCAATCAAGCAGATCGGGCTACCGTCCATCAGGGTCATGGAAGAAGGAGGAAACTTCAGTAAAACTTTTATTGGCTTTCCAAGCTTCATTCCAAGGGGTGATGCCATAAACGCAGCACTCACGTCTATACCCATTACATATAAATCATCTGCTCCGGCGGTTGCAAGCATGATTCTAAGTGATTCGATGGAACTGGTTGGGGAACTGACCATTAAGTCTCTGGCGGATGCCTGACCTTTAGCCACTTCTCGGGCTACCAGCCTCATTCGCACATTTGTGTCGTCCTTCTGAACACACACCCAACGACAACTGATAATTGGAATTCCCCATTTCTTGGCAAGAACTTTGGCTTCTGACTCTGGAATTGGCTTCCCAACGTGTTGCGAAGTCATCGAGGTGACTTCAGTAAACATACCTTTGAAAGCAAGTTCGTTGTCAAGATACTGGCCAGTTGCATCAGAAATCACATATCCAGGGAAAACTACATAGATGGGTGTTCCGCACAGATCTGCTTTCTCACGGCGTGGTTTACTACCTTTCACCTGATAAACACTCTGCATGAAACCCACGTGTCTGTTCTCGATGCTTTCCAATTCATATTCATCAAAACGAGTCACCTGATCAACAAGCATGGCGTCATCTTGATTCCCATTGGATGCCTCTGCAAAATCTACCAAATCAATTTCAACATCATCCTGATCTGCTACCATGTCAACATCAGGCTGGAAATCAACATGACTATTCTCAGCTCCTGGCACATCGTCCTTTCCCAAGATGGAAGGAGAGTACTCACCCCCTTCCGGCTCTGCCCCATCCGCCAACTGGGCTGTGGGATCTTGCAGAAAGGCTGGTCCGGGCTGTTTACCCCGCAAACGGGGATACCGAGAAATTGAAGACTCTTGCGCAGCTGACTCGCGACCAAGTTCAATTACTCTGACATCCGGGCGATGACTGTCATGTTCTTTGCGGTATGTGGAATGCTTTGAAACCTCAAGAGATGGCTCACGCTGTTTTCTCAACCAGTCAATGTATCTATCGACACATTTTCTGAAATGCACACGACTTCGAAAACTGTCTCTTTCACAAGTTCCACAACCAGGTGTCGTGCCATGCTGTCTGATCCATTCTGCAGGAACATTCTTGATGTCCCCGAAGGGTTTGGCAGGGATGATCTTCGGTCTACTCTGGTTAGCATCATCTTCCAATGTCTGTGGATCTGGCTGCAAATCATCTTTCGGCCTACTGGAATCAAACTCCAAAAGCATGGATGGACATAAACGACGGTCAAATTCCAACGGATGAATCCACTTTATACTTTTGGCAGTAAAAACAATTTCCTCCCCTTCTACTCTAAGGCAACAAACGTCTCCCAAAGAGTTGAAGTCAGGGCGAAGATAGACTGCACGTTCAAATCTAGATACCACCCGGCCTTTAAGGCTTTTGGGAACTTCTGCAAGTACAACTGAACCATATAGGCCTGTCGCTCTCTTGATGTCCCTCCCCAATGCCAAAGACTTAGGGCTACTCTTAGTGTCCAAATGAGACCCATGCAAGTTTGAACAAAAACAAATGTAGGCAAGTGCTGTGTTAATAGCAGCTCGACTCTCAAAATTGATATCCAATCCATTGCTTCTGAGGTCCTGCCTCAAAGTTGCCAAACCCTCTTTCATGACTCTCACAGAATTTTCTGCGGCACCTACAGATTGATGCGCTTGCGGGGCCCCCCGTACGATTGACAAGGCTCTACCTACATCAATCCCTCGAAGCAAAGCAGTCACTGCTTGTTGAGCATCTGTAAGAATTTCTAAGGGATATTTCGAAGGCCCAACAAGGTTGAATTCTGCAAGCCAAGCTTTGACCCATTGCTGAGTGGACCGCGCGTCGGTCTCAACTGGTGCAATACCTCGCATCCCAGTGATAGCGTCAGCCAAAATCAAATACTTATAAGTTGAAGGTGCACGCATCCCAGTTGGAATGAACAAGAAGTCACAAATCAGCTCGCTTTGCATGGCGTCTTTGCGTTTCCGTCTACGATGGCTGGTGGACTTGGCTGCAACGCATGTTAGACAGTCTGGATGAAATGGAAAATGACCCTGCATACGATGTTCCTGCAACTTGTCCAAATTCTTCCTATCCTTTCTCAAAATGGATGGATGACTATGCTCACCGCTCTCCACCTGCCTGGAATCATCAGGACCTGCCAGAAAAGGTGAATTGGAAACATCTGCATCGAGTTCGGTTGCGTGATTGGGCTCAAAATCATAGTCAAACGGCTCGCTGGAAAACTGAATTCGTTCAGCCTCCAGCTGATCACGTATGGAAACTTCATTGGGGTTCGGATTCAAAGTGCTAGAAACGGCTGCGGGATCCAGTTCTCGGATATCCGTATCCGCTGAGCGCTTTGTTGTCATTACAAATGGCTGGTCTTCAAATGCAAGCTCTTCGGAATTCACCATCTTCTCAGCCGATTTCCTTTCCAAACTTTTGTCACTTGGCACATCGATTGGCATGTGTTTGCTGTCATGCAAAATCCATGGAACATTTTGCCATGTCACACTTGACAGTCTGAAATTGCCAAAGTGCACGGACACCTCACCGCCGTCACTACCAAGACTCCATCCTTTTCGAAGCAAATTCCCCACTGAGAGGACATTATTTGGAGCATCTGCAACAAACGCCGAAATCCAGCATTCTTTCAAGAAAGTTTTGGACGGATCATTGGTTGCGACCATGGTGAAAAACACTCGTAGACAAACAAGAGAAGTTGGAAAGATCACTTCGCCTGATGCTGTGGAAAATCCCGGTCCCGAATTTGGTTTCAAACTCACGGACTTGACAATTCGGTATCGATCTACAAATCGTGCGCTCACAACAGAGGCGCTGGCTCCTGAGTCAATGAGCCACCAATCAGCATCACGATGGCTATCCGAGGCTTGCTGCAAACATCTTGTTTCATTGGAATTACTCATTGGGCATAAAAAAGGCATGAAAAACAGATTGTCTGTTTGCAAGTGGCTTGAAAACTCTGAGTCAGGAAAACTTTGATCAGCACATGAAGGAAAAACGCTGCAACAACAATGCTCAACGCTGCATGCCGACAAAGTGTCAGAGTCAAACGAGACGTTCTTGCTCTGCTTCTGCAAATGGTCAAGGGACTTTTCAAAGTTCAACACCTTCTGTTGGTACCACTGGCCAATGAAAGACTTCATTGGTGGCTGATGGTCCGTAGAACTGGATCCAGTCCCATCACCTTCAGGCGGATTCTCGCCTTCCTTGTGCTGCTCCACAAGTTCATTGATCTTGCCTTTTCCGGTACCTTTCTTTCCCTGACCACTGCCTTTGCCCTTTCCACCACTGTTGTTCTCTGGCCCCTTTTTCTCCTTGGAATCTGATCTCTTGCTATTCTTGGCAGCAGTACTCATGTCCAGCGGCTTCCCATTGGAATCTTTCTTGGCATGACAATTTGTCTTGTAATGACCTTTGCGACCACAACGGAAGCAAGTATCATTCTTTTCTTTCTCATTCTCGTCCTTTCCTGCTGAACCGCTCCTGCTGCTTGAGTTCTCCTTTCCCTTCTTGCCTTTCCCTTTTCCTTTTCCCTTTTTCCCACCATCCAAAGCACTGTGCATGTAGTGCGAATTGGTGTTTCCAGAAATCTCTGTCCAAATTCTGGAACTGGATTCATACCTCAAAGCTGCGGCTTTCAAGTCTACATACTCATCGGTTTTGGAATGAAGCATCACATAGTCACGAGCTGAACCAGTTAGGCTACGAAAGAGGATCATGCTAAAGTCCGAGGATTGAATCAACAGTCCATCCCGACTCAAATGAGTAGGCAACATTGCGAGCAATTTCTGATAACGGCTCTCTTCATAGTCAAGATTTTGGATCAGCTCAGTGATGCTGGCTGCTTTGAAAGTACGATTCACTAAAGCACTACGAAAATGCAAAATTTCCTGTCTTGATTTCAGCATGTACTCTGCCACGATAAGCCGAAGTGCTTCGAAGCCATTCTTTGGTCCGGGCTTTTCCTGATATGCCAACAGAATTATTCTTGCTTTGGCCGTCTGACCAAAAATCTGCCGCAACATACCAAGTAGACGGGAATCGCATCAAGACAACTGGCTGAAAAACGAATTTCATGGGCAAATTCATGATTGATCAGGCCAACCCAACTTACTAGGTTTTCTACAAATGATTCGATGCCCAAAATTTCATCCAAGCGTGTGCGCCATTTCGATGAATCCACTGAAGGCATGGCGGGCAGCCATCGATCTGACTTGGCCAATGCATCAAGTCCGACCGAAGCTCCCACTGTCTCCGAGCCAGCTTGGTTCATGACCCGGGCCTGACTGCTCTCCACACCTGGAATGCGCACAGCTGGATTAGTGGCTGTTGGGGCACTCGACAAGTCACCAAAACCAAGTCCTCCGCCAAGAGGCGAAGAGAATGGGCTGGACAAACTCTCGATCTTCCTGGAATCTGTGGCGTGCGAAGTCGGATCAACAGGCGTGTTGCTACCTGCAGGGATTTGTGCTGCTGCATTCTGCGCAGCACTTTGCAAGGAATTCAATTGAACCTGTTGACTTTGAAACGCTTTGCTGGCAGCAAGAAGGGCTGACTGTTGTCCCTTCATCTGCTCAACCACAGTCTCCAGATTCTTTCCCATATTCACTAAGTTCGCTTGGAGTTCATGAACCTGCTTCTCAAGCGCAAGAGTTTTGGCATCTGGCTGCATGGATCCAAGGGACGGAACAGGCAACGATCTGTGACGCTCAGAGACCATCATTGGGCGACCACTTTCGATCCTTTGACGCGATCTCCCACGGTCATCAAGTTCACGAGACCGCTCCCTTCCAGAGGCCATGGCTGCACACCGGAAAAACTGGTTGTAATTCTATGTTGTCCCTATTGGGGGCGTTGTCCCAACTGAAAACTGGATCAACTACTTTCTGAGCACCACGTGCTCCGCTACCATGCGGAATTTAACAGCCCCAGGGGATAAACAGTAGGTTGTCAACCAGATACCTTTCAAGATCTTAAAATGTGAGTTCTTATGATGTCACTCCCAATGAAATCTCTGTTCTGATCTTTTCCATAATCGCGGTGTGGCCCTTGAGCCAGATTCCGGGATGGAATTCATTATTCCATGGACAGCACATCCAGCCTTTGGCAGGATGAAAAACTGTTTTCTTTGCATCAGTTTGGGTTAGATCCAAGTCCTTCAGTTCTGTTCTCTCACAGCCTACTCACTTGGAAATTCTTGTCGACCCAAACGTTGACCTAATTAGCACCTTCTATGGTGCAAAAGTCGGTGTCAAGCAACTTCTTCTGTGTCACATGCAAAACAATGAGTGAACAGCAGTGAACGAAATTTGCAAATCAGTCCAAATTTAAAGTGGATCTAAGTGACAAATTCTGAAACTATGTCTCACTGTTCTTGGCTGAGATGGTCATTCGCTCAGACACTTGGCTTGTCTACTTTCCTGCTATCACTACGTTTCCACCACTTCTCAAGTGGCTCTTTCTGCAGTTCAGAACATTCAAGCAAACATTTGGTTCCACCAAATGTGAAGATTGCACAAAACCAAAAAAAAACGGAGAAATATGTGCAACTGATTATGGCTTCGCAAATTAAATCCGAGATCACAACTGCGAGACTCTCTGAACTGAGTGCACGGGCACAATCCAAATAAATCGCACTGCGCTAAGCACTATAGGTCAATGCTCGGATGCTTGTAGTTACATGTGGTTGCCGATGGCTTCTGAAGACAAGCAAATGGCATAAAGTCTAGAGTGTTGGAATCGGTTTCTCTCACATTTTCCACAACTGTTCTCAGTTGTGAGCAGCTTTCCCATCTGAAAATATTTCTGACTGTCGCAGTGGAGCACGCACTCCCAAGAAATTTAGTTCAAGCTCTCGTGACATCTGCTGCACTAAGTTTATGTCTACCGACGGATGCATCAAAGATGCACAGACATTATCAAACTAAATCTCTATGGAATGAGATCCTCACTCTTTGCACTGCACCTTTGGATTCACAATTCCGGCAGGAATTGTGCAAAACTTGGCTTATCACTGTCCAAAAAATCAATACTCTTTCAGGAGAAAATTTCGTGTGTTCTGCACCAAAAATCAACTGTGCTTTGGCGTTTTTGATCGAGAAAATCATTTCAATTGGTGTTGAGCACCAAACGGCATATGCTTCATGAATTTAAGCCTAAGCGGCTGAGATTTTGGATCTGAAGCGCTGACACGATTGTTAACATGCACCTCTGTCCCGGATGGTGCATTATATTCACATCATCACCATCACCATCACCATCACCATCACCATCACCACCATCGTCATCGTCATCGTCATCGTCATCATCATCATCATCATTGTCATTGTCATTGTCATCGTCCTCGCCATCGTCATCGTCATCATCATCATCATCATCATCGTCCTCGTCCTCGTCCTCGTCCTCGTCCTCGTCCTCGTCCTTGTCCTCGTCCTCGTCATCGTCCTCGTCCTCGTCATCGTCATCGTCATCATGATCATCATCATCATCATCACCATCATCGTTAATCAATTACATTTTATCATTATTGGCAATTATTGGCATTATCACGAAAGCTAGCGTCAGCTCGCTAGAGTCTTCTTGCTTTAGCAACTATTCTGGGGCTCCCCAAGGACATCACGTGCTTTTTCACGCGAAAGGGCCCCCCCGTGCCCCCTTCCCCATATATATCATTGTTATATATCATATATCATATATCATTGTTGCATCCTCGTTGGGACGAACAATGCCGCGACACGATGATGACAGTCCCTCCGCAACTCACCTCTTCCCTTCCTTCTTTCTCCTACCCCGCTAGCTTTCGTCATCCACCCCCGGCCTCAAGTTTATCATCACGGATTGGGTGATAATTGTTTCCAATTGATGCTTATCGTAATTGCTGATGGGTGTAACTTCAAATCCAACGGGAGCAACAACAATGATATACAGCTTTACAATGCTTTTCAGGTATCTACCCTAAACATCCATAATTAATGTGGGTAAAACAATGCCATAAGCCACCCATGACTGGGAATGGTTTATACATACCACCTACAAACATGGTGATGGCTGGGGGATGGTGCAAGTGGCATTGTTTTACCCACATTAATTTCTGGTGTTTATCCATCTTTATCCATTATATCCCAAGATATCCTAAGGATATTCCCATTCTATTTCCATTTTACCACCATTAAGAGTACCATATATCTACCATAAACATCCATAAACCCTAAGATATTTGTTGGTAAAATACTATGATATTGCATGATATTTCAACATTCCCATGATATGTTGCATGATATGTTCCATGATATGTTCCATGATATGTTCCATGATAACATTAAAAACTACCCTCTGGTGAACTAACAGTTTGCAATGGAAAGATCCACCATTCTTAATGGGAAAATCCACTATAAATAGCCATTTTCCATAGCTATTTTAACATAACCAGAGGGTACCCAGATTACAGTAAACCCCAAGAAACCGAAACCAGCTTAGCCAGTTCTGTGGCAAAAAACAAGGCCGTTGAGCCCAGCGGTGCTCGATGGCTCCTGCTGGCAAGTGCCTTGCGTTTCAGTGCAGGCGCCATAAAAATTGAGAAACGGTCCAGACCACAGAAACAATGAGGTGTGGTTTTTACCATTAAAACGGATCAAAACGGTGGATTTAACATGATTTAACATGATTTAAGCATGATGATTGGGATTTGACTTGATTTAGCCATGAAAACTGGTGTGTACACCATCGAAAAGGTGGATTTACTGTGAGAAATGCGGATCTTACATGATTTTACCAAACAAAAGTGTGATGTGATTCTCCATTTTATTGACAAAAAAGACCGTGAAAACACATGATTTTGACATATTTTTACCATCACCAGGTTTTTTTGTAACAAAAAATCCATGGGGATTTCACCCGGAAAATGCTGGGAAGTTCACCTCCAGGATCACCTCCGGGATCCCTGGGACCTCGCGGACGCCAGGTTTCGCCATTTTGGTCTGGCTCCCGTCTGCCATCCGCGCCAGCTTCCCGGAAGACGTGGAGCAGCTGCGCGGCGAATGTGGGCGAAGGGCTGGGGCTGGGGGTTCGAGGTGTTTGGTGAGGTGATGAATCATCAAACATGGTGGACAGAAGCAACAAATGGATAGAAATGATGGAAAAAGATCACCTGGATCAGCAATTTTTTGTTGGCACAATCCAGCATTTTGTTGGTTTGTAACCATGAAACCATATGATTTGCTCATATTCAACCATAAAACCATATGATTTAACCAGCAAAGATTGCCATTTAGCGATGGCAAATTGAGATTCAAACCATTTTTTCGGTTTGACGAGGTTTTCATGGGAATATCAGGGTGATTTGGATAATTTTGGAAGGACCGAACCTTGCGATGTTGCTGGAATGATGGGACTTGGATTGGACTATGTATCCCAAAATGACCGAACTTTTGAGGTTGGTGAATAATCATAGAATAGCGAGATTCCCCCCCTACTGCGTGCATCAGATTTTATTGACCTGAAGCGTTGAAATGGTTGGAAGAAAGGATGCGGGCTGCTGTCTTTCCTACCCATTGTATTCAGTATCAGGGGGAAGGGACTATCCATCCATTTCCATCCGCACATTGTTCCCACGGAGGTTTGCTTTGGTCAACTCCCTTATTAAGGGTGTTGCGGGCAGTTTATCCTCCATCAGTGGAGGCATCGGTGGTTTGGGGATGTTTGTGGTACATGGGGAATTCTGATTTAGAGAACTGCTCATATTGTAGGGGCATAGTTATTGTAATATATACTATTACTATTATATATGTATATAGATACTATAGTAGTTATAGTAGTTACTTGGTTTGACCACATGGATCCAAGATGCGTCCTACCTTAGGAAATTATTTTGAGGTGGGAGTGGGTTATGGAATATTTTTTAAATAATTTCCAATGTTTAACATAAATTTTATGTTAACATCAGCGAACAAGAACCATAGCAAAATGATTTATGCACCCGTAACCCGATGATGGTGCAAAATAATTTTCCACCTACAGAGGTTGAAGCACAGTGAAATAATTTTAAGCAAACAACCGAAGGCACCTCAAAATAATTTCTCAGTTGAACTGGGGATTTTTTTTCATAGAGTCCCAACTGTATAAAATAATTACCAGACACCCAGGATGAAAATTATTTCATGGGGAAGTTGAGTTTTGCAAGGTTAGGTTATTTTGTTTTCTGGGGTGGTCTGGTATTAGTACCCCCACCCCCAAAATATTTTTTGGGGGAGAGAGGAATCGATTCAGGTTTCTTTGCCCAAAAGTCGATGATAAGTCGATGTTCTAAAAAATAAGTAGTTCAGTAAGTAATTCATGGTAAGGGGAAGTTAATTTTGCCAGGTTAGGCTATTATTTTTTCTGGGGTGGTCTGGTGGTACCCCCACCCCCAAAATAATTTATTGGGTAGGAAGGGGTCGATTCAGATTTCTTTGTCCAAAAATCGATGGTCTAAATAATAAGTGGTTCAGTAGTGAACCACCCCCAAAATAATTTTTGGGTGTGAAAGGGGGTCGGTTTAGAGATGATTTATTTGATTTGTGCCACAACCTCCAAGTGGTTTAGTGCTTGTCCGGTGCATTCGAGAGGAGAGGTAGGGTGACCCAAAATAATTTTGTGGGTTTTTTTGATAATTATTTTGAGGTGGTTCTACTTGTTTTTTCAATCATCCAAAACCATCTTAAACCACCTCGAAATAATTTCCAAAATTATTTTGAAGTAAGGGAAGTGTTTTTGAGTAATACTGGAACCCTACCAATTGTTTTATTTGCAGCTTTTCAGAAATTATTTTGGGGGGGTGGGTAGTGTCAAAGGAAATTATTTTGCGGTGGGTTAGAGTGTTTTTGAAAAAAATATTTTGAGGTGGGTTGTGTACTAGAAGCACCTCAGATTAATTCCTAAAAATTATTTTGGGGGATGACCCTAGTGTTTTTTTACCTATGGTAGCCCGCATGATCCAAGTCGCAAATCTAAGTTTGTAGTAGTTTGTATTACATACAATGAAACATGTGAGGAGATGAAATGAAGCTGCTGATAGTTGAGTCGATGTGTTGACAAGCCACTTCCCATCCCCTATGGCAACAAAAATCCCCAATCCACAGGCGTGGCCGCGGATGCCTTGCGATCAACAGGCCCAATATGGGGATCTCTGGGTGAACCAACTGCCATCAACAACAACAATTGGGGATGGTAAGCATACCACCAATAGAAAATGGTGATTGGGCCCCAGATGCTGGTGAATTCATGGATGGTTCTAAGTCTGGGTAACACTTCATGACCCACCTAACCAGATATGATGGCCAACAGCGAGAACCTGTGCGACAAGACATAAATTGAGATTGGGACAGTCGTGGATGTAATGTTAAGTCGTTTTTGTTGGCAAGGAATGCTCACAAAAGACTTCAGCACATGATGTTCATGTTTGTCCGTCAGCACAAACGATGCTTCATCCTGGTCATCACCTTAGGGGCTACCAGAAACAAATTGGTGCGTCATCCCCAGAGGACATCCCAATTTTGATTGCATGGTTTTTTTGCTTAGACAAAACCTAGTAAATCACTGTAGACTGTAAACCAAAATTTTGTGTTAGAAACTGCTATGCCCGGGAAAAGAACGCGTTTTTGAAGGTTTTTGAAACCATACATTTTAACCATTGAGGGCGTTTGACGAACCACAGTCCCTCATTACTGGTGATGACTGAGCGATTTCTGTCAATGCCCATATTGGCTTTGGACTCCGAAGTCTTGAGGAGTAAAATTGTAAAATATCTGATGCTCCGGTATGTTTACCACTTCGACTGTTATATTTACCATTTCTGTCACTTTTCGAACCTTCAATGGTATATCGTACCTTATTTTTACCATAGATTCCCCATATATTTACTAAATATAGATCCCGCATACTTAGCATTTCCCATACGTTTACCCATGGTATATCTTGCTATATACCTAACATCCATTGGATACTTAACATACTGGTTTACTTTACTATATACTTACAGTAACATATATAGTTTACCATAGATTTCCCATATATATATATATTGTATATATATATATACATATATGTATCCGACATATTTACCATATTTATATATATATATATGTATATATTCAAAAATACTTTCTATAGCATTTCCCATTAAAACATAGTATATTTTACTATACTTACCATATTTTTGTTCCCCCATCCGTAGATCCAGCGTTAAGTCGCCGGTTTTTGTCAGAGCCTGGTAGGCTTCGGCGACCGCTCGGCGGCCTGGTTCTGCGCGGCCTCGAGCCTGGCAGCTGCTCCTTTGTGGCCACTTGGCATTATCGAAAGGATGGTTGAAACAGTGAAACATTGATAGCCTTTACCTAGATGGGATTGTTTTGGCTGATGTTGTGGAAGACAAAAAATTGAAACACCTGATATATAAATCAATGGGCATCACCTGATCTAAGAACAACTACAATGTGGGGCCCCCAAGATAGCTAAGTTGGTGCAAATAACTCCAACAACTATGGTTTATGGTACGCAAATAACGAACTAGTTCATGGGGTTTATAAACCAACTTATAACTGGGCGGCCCCACATTGTAGATGGGATGTTGTCCATCTTAGTAGAAAAACTGGAGGATTATATGGGAACATATGAGAATATACTGGGAACATACTGTTAATCATATACTGGGAAACATGTTGAAAGCCTATGGAATCCTATAGAAGCCCACCGAAAGGATGGTTGAAAGCCTATAAATAGTGGGATGTTTACCATCAACTTGAGGAATAATGGTATGTTTATAAAATCTAGAAAACTGGAGGAATTCGCAACTATATATACGTACATATATTGATATGAGTTGATTGGTAGATGATGATTGAACTTTTACTGTAACTATAGATACATCTAGATAATCAATTGAACATCATAGAAGCCTATATTTTTATGATAATCATAAGATGGTTGCTAATTATTCATGATGGATATCAAGTTGTTATCAATTTGTGAACATGGTATTTTCAGTGGTTTCTACCATCATAACTTCAAAAAAAAATGGAAAAAGCTTGGCCCATGGTATTATAGAGATAGTCGCTGATGCTTAAGGATAGTTTATGATTAAGATGCCAACGACTTGAGATAGGCCCATGGTAGGGGCTAAACCCACCAACAACCACGTGCCTAGCGCCATGTGGAGCTTTTGAAGAATCTGAAAGGTGGTTTCAGTACTCAAAAATGGCTGTTAAGCCAGGATGATTTGAGGGTACCCTCTGGTTATGTCAAAATAGCTATTGAAAATGGTGATTTATAGTGGATTTACCCATTGAAAATGGTGATTTTCCATAGCGATGTTAAATTACCAGAGGGTACGCCTAGCTTAAAGATGAAACGCAGTCGCCCCAAATGCCCAACAGTCATGAAAAGCCTATGAGTTTAGGGGCATGAGTTGGCTGCAATGACGATCCCAATTAAAAAATCAGATTTTTGTGGCGCTGGCCCAGCCACCACATTTTTTTGGTGGATTATGCAGCTTCGATGCAGAGAAAAATCATTAGCAATGTAGGGAACCCGTGGTATTTGTGGTTGTGCTTCTTGGGGCTGCCTACTGGGTCTTTGCACTTGGATTCCGTGGACTGTAAGTTGCTGTTTTTTTCCTCTCAAAGAGGTTTCCTGGGATATGTATGGATAATTATGGATATATTATATGCTCAATATGTTGAGGGGTTCCTGTGTATGTGTTCATACTATTCTGATGACTCCACGTCCTTTACCACACAGACAACACAAAAAGAAGCGAGTGTGCATGTAAGACCATCTATCTTATCCAAAATACTGTCGAACCTATTGAATGCAACTTTTTATTGTAGTGATTCGAAGTTTGCACTTATTTTGTTTACAAAAAACAGCTTTAAATCCTGTTATCAAATGATGGATCTCCCTAACTTCTCAAATGATGGCGGAAAATGATTCAAAATCCTGGCTTAGTAACGCCATATAAAAAACAGCTGGGATTGATGGTAATATTCAGCCGCCCTATTGATATGTCTATGGTTAATGATGGTTAATGATGGTTAATAATGGTTAATAATGATAATCAATGATAATCAATGATTAATATACTGGTTGGTGGTGACTGGAACATGGCTTTTACTTTTCCATTCAGTTGGGAATAGTAACCCCAATTGACGAACTCATATTTTTCAGAGGGGTTGAAACCAGCAACCAGTATTATAATAGATGTTGACATGTTTTATCCCATGCCATATCCTCTTGTAAGTTTTTACAGCCATGGAAGCCATGGCCCATTCAGCCATTCAGTTCAATGATTTACCTTTAAAAGATTGTGATATTGACTGAAGCTATCCCCAAATCTGACTTCGCCACTTCTGACTGAGGTATTTCACCCTGGCTGAGGGGTTGAGTTTCCAGGTTTGCATGGCACTTCTTTGTGCGGAGCACCATGGCATGGCATGCCTGAGTTGCGTCAATGATAAGCCAACCTCCAAGCGGTTATATGTTGTATTGGGAAAATGATGATTCACCAGCATTCACCCATTTAATTCTTGGGAAGATTGCTTATTTTCAGACAAGGCCATTTATGAGTTTATTAGAATTTACTGTATATTTTTCCGTTCTTAGAAAATGACGATAAAAACATATAAAAACCATGGATTTGGTGGGCGATTTCTCGCCTAAATTTGTGGAGTTGCGAAACTCGTGGGTTAATCGTGGGTTAATCCACCAGTTTCGCTGGAATCTAGAACATGCTTCGTCCCGTCGAGCCCCTCCCTCCATGATCCTTGTAGCGGCCTGGGGCCCTGGGTATCCTGGGTCATCATGTCCTGTTTTTTTTTCTGTTCCCCCCATTGATGATGGAAAAGATCCATATTGAAAAACCGTAGATTTGCCCCAGCAAACCAATGTCCCAATGACATATGTTCAAGAAAAAGACATCCCAACAAAATCATTCCAGTGAGATTTAAGTTATATATTTGAAATTTATATTATATTTAAAAACAAAACCATCATCTCTGTATAGCAACCCAAAAAATGATAGAACAGTAAAATCCCATTATCATAGTGGTAAGTTACTGTCCTATTGTTGTGGGGGGTTACTATAGATGTTTAACATAAATTTCTACAACTGTGTTTAACATAAATTTCTACAACTGTGTCTGAACATAGTAGTAAAAATAACATAAAATAACATCATATAGCAAATGAGTTACTATCTGGACCTATGTCTTCTCCTAACATGGCTTCAGTGCAGCCTGTTCCGCTGAGGTATTTGGTGGCTGAGAGTTGGTTGGGCCCAGCCATTTCAGCCCTCCAAGGCTCAGTGCCTTCGGACCGACGCGGCACAGCGCAGGCGAAGCCATCCCATAAGGCCTCTGTGAGGCCACTACTGTAAGGCCATTACTACGCCATGTCATATACTATAAATATTCCATTAATAATGGGAATATAAGTCATCAAAAGTCTCATATACTATAAATATCCCATGAGAATCATAAGAATCATTCTGAATGAGGACACAAATGATGACTTTTGCCATTGGGAGCCAGTACCAAGCGGTCAATGAATCGAATGAGTTGCAGGATGTCTATGGGTTGTTCATGTATGACTTCTGTGTTGGTTACATCAGTTGTAGGTATTCCATGCTGTGAGTCAGAGCATATCCCAAGATTATCCCGATCGGATACATCTGGATATCATGAATGTTTGAATTCAAATTGAATATACCCTCTGGTAAACTAACATAACTATTATAGAAAATCACCATTTTCAATGGGAAAATCCACTATAAATGGTCATTTTCAATAGCTATGTGACAAATTACCAGAGGGTATGTACTATTATTTACTCATCCCCTTGAAATTCTAGGACCTCAAATTCTAGACTCATCATATGGGATAGCAAACTTGGGCGACAGCCTTGATCCACCCGCTACTGGCCATCCCCAATCCCTCTCAACGTGTGACAGGGGGTTTTCTCCTCCCTCACTGCGTGGCTTGGAAGCAGGTGAATGCTCCCAAGACGGTCCCCAAAGTGAAGCGCCTTAATAAAGCAAAGAAACATTGTAACATGGGGATATATCCAGCTAGTTTCAGGGATTTCTGTGCAAAAAATGATGTTGAAAACACCAAGACCAACACAGCAAACGGAGCCGAAGCAGCAGCCAAGCAGCACGTGTCGACAGCTATCAGATTTTATCAGTCCATATATGGCATAGCAACCCCCCGAAAAGTAGAGTTTGGGAAAAATCCACCAGAATATGAAGTCGATGATATTGAAATATATTGAATATGTCCTTTAAATGTACTGTCGCTCTATCAGCCATACAGTAGCCCGAAAAAATGACCGAGAAACGATTTACATATCTCCTCATATCCCCATTTTCGTGTGGTCTTTATTTATGGTGTTTATTTATCTATCTTTTAGGGGTTGCTATAGTACTATAGGATTCTAGATCTGTTGGGCTGGAAAATTCCCATGGAAAATTCCCGCTGTGACTCCCGTTAAGGCTTGGAAATGCCTTGCCCGTTGGATTGGGTTTGCTGACCCCCTCGGATCTGACTTCTGGCCTTCAGATCAGTGTGGCGGCACGGCACGGGATGGTGGGATGAATGGCGGTGAAAAAAATGGGTCTTTTTTGGTAAGGACCGATGTGGGATTTGAAGATGTTTCATCATGTTTCAATCTACCCAATGAGCATAGCGCACTGTTACCATATATAATATATATATATATACATATGAATCAGCGAACGGAAATAGACAAAGTTACTCATGAATAAGTATGATGGTGGGGCTACATTGTTTTATAATGCGTAAGTAGTTTACTACTTGCTGGAGCTGCAGAGGTTTTGGGTCCCGAAATTGGCCCAGTAGATCTAATACGGATGTATCTGAAAATGGGGGTTTCCATAAATGGGGGGTCATTTTGGGATCCCAAAATGGTTGGTTTATAATGATTTGAAAAAAAAAAACATTAAAATAGATGCTTTGGGGGCACCCCCATTTCAGGAAACCCTCAAATGATTCAAATGGTGTACACCCCCAAATGACCATTTTAATGGCAAAGAACTGGCACATTTGCAATCGGTTAGTCAACTAACATAGCTGTGGAAATCCATGACTTTCCCTTGGAAGTCATCGTTTTTAAAGGAGCCATATTTGATAGCAAACTGATGCAAACCTTCACAATTTGCCGGAGGGTATGTTAGTTGGAGGGAAAATATTTGTTGTTGGTTATTGTATCCCATTATTTCATTTTTTATATCCCTATTTTGGGGCTGGTAAAAGCACCTTTCACCAAAATGTGCGCGTTGTTATCCATGCGGCAAGTGTCTGGAGGCGTGTTATCTCCTCAGCGGTCTTTGCTTTCTACTGGCCTCCAGTCATTTGCAACAGGCTGGGCCATGATGGGCGGTGGCTGTAGCTGAGTTCAAGTTAGTAGAGCAAAAAGTAGTCAAACATCTTCACACATCTTGGCTGCGTTCGACTTCAAGTTGCCGATGTCCTCAATACTGCAGCTTGGCCATAGGTCCACAGGTGCCATGAAATCCCAAAATTAGTAGTAGCATTACGGTCCGACGCCATCGTTTGGCCGGACTCGCAATGATGATGATGATCATCATCATCATCATCATCATCGTCATCGTCACCATCATCATCATCATCATCATCATCATCGTCAACATCATCATCATCATCATCATCATCATCATCATCATCATCATCATCATCCTCCATCATCCTCCATCATCATCATCATCATCATCACCATCATCGTCATCATCATCATCATTTTCTGAGGATCCATCAGGATACTCCCCGCAACCCCCCCACCCTAAATGGTAATGATATGTATCTTTCAAAGGTCATGGGGAAGAATCTGGCATGTAATGATGAGGAACCATCAGGATACCCCCCCAACCCCCCCCCCACCCTAAATGGGAATGATATGTATCTTTCAAAGGTCAGGGGGAAGATGGTAAGCTTATAATCATGCAGCTTATTTGGTCTAGTACTTGTAGCTAATACTTTTTTTCCATTGTGTGTTTGTCCGGTCACCCACTGCACCTCTCTGCACAAAGCCACAGCACAGCTAGTGAGTGGGTTTCGCTCGGCTGGCGTGTACCAGTCCAAGAGGAGCTGCCACGCCCTCATACTGTACCCTGTTGAACCGCTATTTTATTGTACTGCGGGACGGCCAAGCATGATTATCAATATTTCAACTTAGATGATCATGTGATGCATATCAGCATGTTTTGATTGTTACCGTAAGATATGTTTCAACGTAGATGATCATGTGATGCGGGTCAACATGTTTCGATGGTTATAGTAAGATATGTGTTGAAAAAGATGAGTCATTAGGTGGTTGTGAAAGCAGGACACATATCCCTCATGTCATGATATATTTCTAATCGGGTTACAGGTTCCATGTTTTCATATGGGAATTGTTTTGCTATGATGTAGATGGAAGATGTATGATCATGTTTTGCTGAGCAACATGTCATGATATGCATGTTAAGATACATGAACGTCTTGTAAATTGTTGGGCAAACGATGGTGTCAGCGCGTAACATTAGTATTCATTGGTAGTTACATCGGACCTTAGCAGGTGGAGAGTCACCATAATCTTCAAATCGCCTTGGATTGGGCGCAGAACCACCTGGCTTGCATCTGTACGGCAGGAGGTTCCTCACCCTGAAGATGCTTCGCAGTGAGTAGCAAGCTGAATGGGAAGTGGAGCTGTATAGAACACCTCGCTGTGGGTCAAATTCTGCGTTTAGTTCCACCAAAAAATAATCCCTGCAGGGTTGCGGTAATTTTGTATCTTGGTTATTCTGAGACATCATTTGCAGCTCTGATCCACGCGAATCGTTTGGGGAGCTCGACCTGTTGTTGTTGAATTGATGTTTGTTGAGATCTACTGTATCAAATCTGGTTCTTTTCTTGTGCGTTGGGGAAGTACCCCCAGCCTTGGGATTTTTGAGTCAGTCTGGAACAACCCAACCGGACAGAGATTATCACATCATCATCTCCAAGTTTGTCCAAAAAAATTGACATTTGAGCTTCCGAAAACCTCGGAGTTTTAATCTTCTTATGAGTCGATTTTGTTTTGCCTTCAAGATCTTGCGAGAAGGCCGTTTTCGCAGCGACAAGCCGCTGCAGAGATTCTGGGTTCCACCTTTCCAGAAAAAGCAGCGGGACCCCCCAGCTTGGAAAATTCATTGGTGAACAATCATGAACATTTGAAGATCTTCAATAAGTTATTCTGCTGTGAAGACAGGTAGAAGTTTTTGACCCGCAAATGGGCATTTGTCAATGCCATCGTAGATAATTTTCTTCACAAAGGTTGTTCGACCCATTTTCCATTTCAACCAGGGTGAGATGAAGGATCCCATCGTGGTTAAGCACGGCTTGATGTGTTTACGTTTGACCTGTCACCTGCTTTCTGAAAGGTAAGACCAAGGTAAATGGTCCATGTTGATCCACACTCGCCACCTCAAAATTGTGTTTGCCGCAGGCGGACAGGCATGTTCTTCTATGTGTTTGCCATTTGCCAAGTTGCAGTTGGCTAGATCATGTTTTATTCATGTTTTATTCATGTTTTATTCATGTTTTATATGTGTTGCCAATTTTTGCCATATTTGTTCCAGTTTTTTGTTGCCCTTCCATGGTGAATCAACGTCCCTTCCCCATATTTTCAACACCCGTCACCATGGGATGAAACCGGTGATCCCGACAGGCACTTTTGGAATCCGTGGCACAATGGGGAATGGAAGGATATGTTTCATTTACCCGCATCAATATGATATAATATAACACAATGATATATCACATAAATTCACATAATATATCAAAATATGTTTCGATATAATATAAAATATTATGCAATATAACAGAATATTGCATGATCATTCATCATGATCATTCATCTAGTTGATTGAAATTGTTCCTGTCAATCGTGTATTGCGATTGTGAGGCAGTTTCTTGTTGTCGGTGTCATGGCATTTGCAATGTGTTGCAATATGTTTTCAGGTTTCTATCCAAGAAACTGGTTGGAGTGATTGCTTTAACCGGAAACCCGTACATGACTACATGTAAATTTAGTAGCCACCAAAAAAAGATAGGTAGCAAGTTATCACTAGTTTTGTAGAATTTATATGTCTGTGTGATATATTAAGCATCTATGATGAAAATAGTAGAACAACACCATGTCCTCACGTTAAACCATTGATTCATGAAGTCAAATCTGTAGAAGATCGAAGGTCCTAATGTCAATGACAATGGATTTCTGGTGGCTTCCCAGCAGGTTGCAAAATATGTACATGCATTTACATTTACATATATAGAATATAATATATAATATATGTATATATTCTTTGGGAAAAACATGTGCCCCATAAGAAAAACACAGAACATATTGAACAGTATCCTGGGAACGTCTTTTGGCCCGTGTGCGTTTGCAGGTGTCCAAGAGGGAACAATTCTGAATCGCGGAGCCATGTGGCTATGGACAGCATTTAGCTGAATTCATTGTACAACATGCCACCTGGGCCTGCGAATTTTGCTTGGCACTCGCTTTGGAGTGCCGCGGAAATGCTGTTATGCATGCCAGCGCTTTGCAAATGCCATTGTCTCCAGAACTCAGAACTTGTGTCCCAAGCTTTCCAGCCTAGAATGGAGGATATGGTGGTTGCCTTTTTTTTCCACAACCAGAACACCACAAGTCAGCCGCTACATGTCGCTACAGGTGAGATTCATATCTCATAGCTGGTGCATCCTGCAAACTATCCCAGCCGCAGGCTTCAAACCAGTTCATTCACCATTTTCTGCTTTCAGAAAACCATCCTGGGATGTAGTAATCCTCAAATGGGTCGGTAGGACAGTTAAATCCTTCTAAAGCATACTAAAACAGTGGCGGCTTATGTCTCTATCTGGTTGCTCAATACATACAAATATATTGTAATAATCTAAGACAGATTCTAGCTGCCCAATAGCCCCTGCTGTATGCATCTAAATGTAAGGCCCCATTTTATTCCAACCAATTCCTAGCTCACCCACTAAGTTTGTATGTTACGGTACACCTCATGGTGGGGCCTAGAGTTTCTTCATGATTTTGATGGTAAAAACACCATTTTTTCTTACCGCTTTAGTAATTTACATAGCTATGGAAGCCATGGCCCATTTTGTTGGATGAGTTATGTATATAATATTACCTTTTAAACTGGTGATGTTCAACAGCAAACTGCTAAATTGCCAAAGATTGCAGCACTGTCGCCATCATCTCCCATGGGTTGAGAATGGTTGAGGCTAACCATCTCTGTCACCTCTGGCGCTGGCAACAGCCAGCTGTCCACCACAGACGGGGGGCGCCGGCGCGTTGCGTTTTTGCAGCGCGATGACCAGCGAGGTCGAACCTAAACCTGAGTCGCAACCTCCTTTTTAAGATTCATTGAGTATAGGGGGAATTGTTTCGGCAACATCATAAAGTACGGCGGTTTTTGATATATGTTCATGTAAGCTATCGATCAGAATTCCATTTGCATTTATGAAATTACAAATATATAATAGCCTGCCAGGGGGGTGGGGTACCCTGATCCTCTTGCAGGGCTGGAACAGATTGCATTGCTTGGGTTTTAACAGAAGCGCTCCTGTTGAGAGACACGGATCCCAGTCTATCCCTTCGTAAGGTATAAATTGCAGATTATTGATACATATTTCCTTGATACCCCAAAATCAGCAAGTCACGAAAGTAAAGTAAATGCATAGTAATGGCACACATGCATAAAAACACACCATGTATGGATCGTACGGGTGCGGATTTTCCGCAAGCTTTGTCATTGGTACTCGTATTCATTGCTTTGTACAGAGCCACGTGTGAACCCTGAAGTGCGGATACTTAAGGAACCTTCAGATCATTTGCTGGCTGCTTTTGGTCACGTCACATACAGTGCTAAACAGCAAAAATGTAGTACGTCGCATTCTTGTTGAGACAAGTCATGCATGATGTTTGTGTATAAGTTCTGTTTTTGCATCCCGCCCAAATCTTGGATGGCATACTACCCCGATCCAGATGTTTTTCACGGACTGGTGGCACAACCACCCAGTCACAAGTTTTGAGGTTTGCGTCGGGTGTGTCAGAGTATTGCTTTCCGGTTGCGCCGCTACCGCTCGGCCGGGACGGCAAGCTGATCCGAGCGCCGTTCAAACGACCAGCTGAGATTCCAGGGGATTAATGGGGCTTAATTGGTTTGAACCAACCAAAAATGAGGTGGAATACAGTGGGGAAATAGTGGGGATACACTGATTTGTGAATTTGTCCCGAAAGGTGGCATTGACAATGCCACAAACTATTGGGGTTACCCCATTTTCCGACACATCCATTCTTCGTTGCCACTGTTGCTTGCTTAAACCTTTGCACCAACCTGGTGTCACACGCGTTGGGCCTTGCCCAACGGTATGAACGGTGCTCAATTTGGTGGTCCCGGCACGGCGCAGCCATTTGAATCTGGATGAGCCAATCAGATCTTTGCTTCGGACGATTCATATCGTGCTCTTTGTTAGTGGACGCAGCGCATGTCTTACCCCATTGACATCCACTGATTCAAGATATTTTGTTGACCCATAGGTTCAAAGAAGCATGAATTTCTAGCTGGATGTTTGTGGTTGCTGTTATCCAATCGTGATGGCCTGGGCCAATGATAGCATTGGCAATATTGGGTTTTCATCCCAGATATTTCATAACATGGTGGGAAAGCGGTGAAAAAGATACTGCTGTGTGGCACGATGTGACTCTCCGAGCTCTCGAAAAGTGAGTGTGTAAAAGACTATCCGCTTTGCATCTTCCGTTCACGGAATGGCTGCAGTCGGTCTGGCGCCATTCAAGTTGCAGAGGAGCGAAGTGCAGAAAAATCAGCGCCATGGAAGAAGATTCCACAGGCTGTGGGGTCTGATTTGCACGGTGAATTCATTGAACTCTGAACTCTTTGAGAGAAAGGTAGATAGACAATTAGAATAAACAGAATAAATTAGACCAGATAGACAAGTATATATACTGTAGATTATAGATTGAGACAGATATCGTTGATAGACCTGCCTATGTTGTAATTTGATGTAATTTTGCCTTTTGGCCCTCTAGCACAGTGGAAATTGGCAAATAAAACATGGTGAACAGTAGGGTTGGCGAGGGCGGAAGACCGATGGCAGATTTCAGCCGTTGTTTTATATTTATACAATGCAATGCATATGCAATGCTCCCTCCCTAAGAGCAAAACTAAACTAAGCCGATCCAAAACTATGAACAAGGTTTTCTAGGGAGCAGTTGTCAGTAGGGTCTAAGGAACAAAGCCATCTTCCACCCACAGCAGCCCCGCTGTTCAACTGGGTGCCTCAGTGGCAGAAACGTAGGGATTTCATCTGCAAATCCCGCGACGTCACTGGAATGGTTAGGATTGGGTAGCCCCAAAGCAAATTTAGTTCAGGTATACCCTCTGGTAAACTAACATAACTATGGAAAATCACCATTTTTAATGGGAAAATTCACTATAAATGACCATGTTCAATAGCTATGTTAAATTACCAGAGGGTATATATTGTAATTTACCCAGCTGTCATGGAGAACACCACTTCAGGGATCATCACTGCTTTGGCTCAGACCGGAGCGAAAAGCGCGCCGGTGGCTGTCGCTATCGGCAGAGCCGAAAAGTTGAAACACCAAGCAGTTGTCATCACCCTTGGAACAGATGATGAACATCACTAGGAGCTTCACAACGAGATGGAAGATGATGTACGAAATCAACTTAAAACCAAAAGTACCATAATGAAACAGTACCCAGCAGCAGTTCTTAATGGGTATTTACCTACCAACATCTTACCATCAGCACCATTCTGTATCAGGGTGGCGCACCAAAGCCGTGGGCGGCCCTCCAGACGATGCAGGTTTGGCAGACGGTCTCTAGCAGCCGGCAGCGTGCCCGCAATGCGGAACGGATCACCAAGAAGCCCCTGGGACACGCGGTAGGGACCGGTGGTGGTGTGGCTAGTGTACAACGTACAGCTTTGTTGGTTGAACCATGTTGAACCAACAAAGTTCATGGCTTCAAATGTGGGAAAGCCTGGCTGCCATAAACAAGGTAACACGCCTCCTCAGTACCCGGGTAAAATCGATCAAAATTGAGCATTTGACCTGGTATTTGCAGTGTTTTGTGTGTATCATCATTCAAGGTCCCGAAGTGCAAAAGGACGCAAAACTTGTGTTTCATCCAGAGCAGCGTGGCGGTCTAGTCCTTCTTGTTATGTCGGTAGACGAACTGGTATATGTATTCCCACAAGCGGGGATTAATGACTTTGTCATTTCTGTTTTTCAAGCAATGCGGCACGATTTTTCTTCAGCCACATCCAAGACCTATCTAGGACTTGTGTGCCAGCCCATTTGGCTTTGCCTTTGACTTTGGATTTCTTTGTCCATTCGGACTTTTTATGAACAACTGAGCGGACACTGAATCGTTTCCATCTGTACGAAGTCTTCGAAGCTTTTCGCCAGCCTTGACACCCATCAGTGTAGAGAATGGAATTTTTGTTGCAGCGGCCAAGAAGACCAGAAGAGACGATCTCTGTGGAGGACTCCGTTGGAGGCTTTCCATTGCCGCCGACTAGAGTCAAATCTGCTGGAGCCACCAATAACTTTCCTGACATGGATTGCAGAGCTGGAATTTTAAAAAATATTGGTGGGGACCAGGAAGGGCATTCATGAAGTTGATTTAAATGTGAACCCTCGTCTTCTATAAAGTAATACACATCGTTTTGATCAAGCAGATCCTAGGGGCCGTCACTTGTCTGCACCACACCGAGCACCCTGATGTAAAGCAGGAAAGATTTCGGCATCTTCTTCCGTGGGTGATCTTTTTTCCATTGTTGAATCAAAGAAGAAAGGCATGGGATTTGGGTCCAATCCTATTATAATGGATCGCACAGAGCTGCCATCGCACTCGACTTGCCCACGAAGTCTGAAGCTTTCACACTGCAAGCGGCCAAGACGTGCTTCATGTTGTCGAAGAGAATCATACAGGCGAGTCAAAGCTTTCATTCCGCAGCCGAGCAGCTTCGCTTGCCTCACAGTGCCAGGTGTCTTACCACTTCCAGTGTTTGTGTAAGCTGCCACTGCAGTATAAACTTGCTGAGGAGACAGTCCCCGGGATACACTGGGCGCGAAAACACTAGACTGTGTGAGGCAATTCATCTTGCAACGGCATTCTTCTGCTTTGCATTTGCGATAAACTTGCTTTGTCACTCTTTGCCACACGAACGGTTCGCTCAGGCGACCCACGTCACACGTGGGACAGCGGCTGACTGTCTTGAGGTAGCCCAACTTCTGCAAACGCTTGACTGCTTCCAGTGGACAAACATCGCAAATCCCTCCCTTCGTTTTCTTTTCCAGAGCTGCCTGTTTTTTCTTACCGGCAGAGTTTCCCGAGTATGCCTTTCTTTGCTTTTTGTCCAATCTTTCTTGCTCTTTCGGTTTTCTTCCTGCTTGTTTCTGCTTAACTTTCAACTGTCGTCTCATCTTGCGAAATGCCTCCGCTCCAGGCAAATTGCAAGTCAGCACGGAGTGGCCTTGTCGACCACATAATCCACAAGCCATAGCGGCAAACCGTGGCCACGCACTTCATTCAAGGGATGGCTTTGGCAACTTGAGCCTCAGCCTTCTGACAGACACATGCAATCCACGTGACAGAGGATCTTTGACACTGCGGCTTTCAGAACAAGTATATATATATATACAGATTGTTGTATATAAAGGTAAATATACACACACACACATATATATATATCATCATAAAGATATAAACATATATAGATTTAATATAAGTCACAAAGTTCAACGGTGAGGACATGTCAGCAAGATGCCAGATTCAACGGCGGCAGCGCATTGTTTTTTTGCATGATCAAATTTGCCAATCACACACATCAAATGTGCAAATCAGCGTAACTTTTCCACGTTTCAGCAAGAGAGGTTTGGAATCGAGTCATTTCTAGTGTTTCTCAACTTGAGGACCGTGCTGCAGCTGGAAGCAAATGTGCTGCCGCATGTCCTTCTGTGCTCTCAAAGCCGCCTTTGGCAGGGCATCCAAGGATCCTCTGTACGCATGCCCTTACCAACATGTTGGCTTTCCATTCTCTAAACGTGTCCAAAACTTGGCACATCGAACCCAAGATTCACCGGTGTTTGGTCCTGATTTCACCAGGT